GTGGGCAGAGCCCTGGGACAGAGGCGGGGGCTGTGAGGGTCTGTGGGCAGAGCCCTGGGACAGAGGCGGGGGCTGTGAGGGTCTGTGGGCAGAGCACTGGGACAGAGGCGGGAGGCAGGGCTGTGGGAGGCCTGTGGGCAGAGCTCGCCGCTCTTTTGCCTAGGGATGCTCTCAGGTGTGCCCCTGCCACCCTCAGGCGACACCACGGTGCTCAAAGTCTCGGTTGGACCCTGTTTTGTTGCAAAGCTCGGTGTTGCAATCTGTGACAGCTGCTGGGCCCGAGGGTGTCCCCTGCCAGGCGACAAACCACATCCACAGCGCCTGACAGGCTCATCCCCCTTGCTGGCATCTACTGAGAGTCCATCACCAGCCAGCTTGCCAGACCCTACCCTTGGCCCAGTGCGAGTTGGGGCTCTCTTGCTGTCAGCCTTTGATCCATTGCTGGGTGCTTTCTGTGGAGGATGTGGCTGAAGGGAAGGGACCAGCTTGGGAGGCCTCCTGGGCTGGGGGGGGAGGGGGGCGGAGTGGAAGGAGGCCTGTGTGCGCATGCACATACACACACCTGTTCTGGGCTGAACATGGCAGTGAGGAGCTCAGCGAGGCCTAGCTGTGCCCTGGAAAGTGTCATCTCAGGCAGGCCAGCCACTGTCTCTGGGCCTAAGAGCCCTGGAGAGCTTCACAGGGAAGGCAGGTGCTGGGCCCTGGCCTGAGGGTGTCCCCTCCCCCACGGGCGTTTTGGCTGTCACATCTGGAGGGTTGCTGCTGGCACCCAGGAGGCCAGGATTTCTGACAACGTCCTGTGATGGTAGAACCCCTCTCCCAAGAGGATTATCCGGTGTTGGCCCCCAGTGCTGACGGCCTGGGGTGCAGACTGAGACATGATGTGGGATTTGGGGGGGGAGAGCCACGGAGATAAGGCATCCACCAGGGTTCACCATACAACTCTGGGGACTTTGTAAAGGGCTCTTTCCTGAGCCATTCTTAGTTTGAAAGCTGCATCTAGCAGGATGACAGGCTCAGAGCAGGTGCTCGCTGAAATACGTCTCAGTGCATCTGCCCACGCCTGGCCAGTTTCCTCTGTGTTTCTGGGCCTTCCTTTTGGCCTAGCCTTTCTATGAATTCTGCACCCGCACAGGGTGTGGCTATCAGCAGAAGCCACTCCTCCTAGGATCCAGGTAGAACTCACCCTACCTGGAGGGCAGACAGCTGACACCAGTCTGGGGAGAGTCCTCTGGCCTGCAGGGACAGCCTCAGGCTGGGCTCCCTGCGTGTCCTGCCCTCCTGGGAGCAGAAACCCAGGTGGCAGCAGCACCAGAGCATCAGCACTGGGTGGTCGGCCTTGCCCAGCACGATTGGTAACCCAGCACGATTGGTAACCCAGCCCGGACAGCCTCCAGAGTGAGCCGGGTTGGAGTGCAAAATGGCAGCCTGGAGCTCCCTAGTGAGCAGGGATGGTGAAGCCAGGGCCTGGCACTGCGAATGCCCTTTCACCCCGTCCCTCTCGTATGGCCTCGTGGGGCCAAGGGCCCCCAGGGTGGCACCCAGTGGGGCAGGCCAGACGCACCCTTGGGATGAGATGGATCTGAGCCCCTCGCATGTGTGTGTGTACTGGCACTTAACACGGAGAAGCCAGGAGGCACAGGCAGGGACGGGGGCGGGGGGAAGGGGTCCCCCTTACCCCCTTCCAGGAGATGAAGAAACGGAGGCCGAAGGGGGCACAGGGGCCCGTCTTGCAGGCTGGCACTCTGCCCAGTGCATGGAGTGGCCTTCTCTCTGGCATACGGTTCCCCCTTCCCTCCTACAGAAAAGGAGGACCCTTTTCTTGGCATGGGCGGGGGGTGGGGGAGAGCTGAGGCAGAAAGGGGCAGGGGTTAAGGCCTCGGAACATGCAGATGGAGTCTGCTCCCTTTGCTAAGCCACACGGAGGGCGAGTTCTTCCCATCACTGCAGGGAAGGCGTCCTCTATCTTCAAGGTGAACACTTTGAGCTGGGGTGTAACTGCCTGCACCCCAGCCCAGTCGCCTTCCTCCCCTCCCCCCAGAACAAGCCACACTGCCAGGCTCGGGTGCAAAGGAAGCACTTCCCAGAAGTGTTTAATCCTCACAGGGGCTCAGGGAGGGGTGTGGGGTCCCTTCTCCCCCCCGCCCCCCTCCACTGGAAGCTAACCAATGGCTGACAGGACATCCTCCCTCCCCTCCCACCTGCTGCCTTGCCAACAGCGGTGTCCCCCCCTCCCCAGCCCCGGAGGCTAGGGTCGCTTGAGAAGCCCTGGCTAGGGAGGGGAGCCCAGGGTCTCACACACCCCGAACCAAACCGGGCTTTACACCAAGGCACATTGAGGGGAGGAGCAGGCTCAGGGAAAGGCACCCTGAAATCCCTGAGGCCTGCAGCAGGCCCCTGCCAAGGAGGCCCGGGATTCTCAGGCTAGCCCGCTGGTGGGGGGGGGGGGAACGGGAGGGGCGGTTTGTAGGGAAGGGAAGGGAAACGGCTCAGGAGGCTGGGGCATCTTCCCCCATACCCCAGTCTGGTGCAGGAGCCCGAAGGGACTGGGCAGGAAGACCAAAGCAGCCCTGTCTTCCACATGGAATTCTGGGAACAGAGCAAGACTGAACCTTGAACTTCCTGCCTCCGAGTCTCATCCCCTCCCCAACCCATCCTCTCAGGGGGACCAGAAAGCACCAGAAGCCCAAGGAAGAAGCCAGACAGCCGGAGCTGCCCTGGAGACTGTTGGTGAAGGCATAAGGACGTGGGAACCTGCGGGGCAGGGCGGGGCAGAAAGGATGGCGGACCCTGCGGAAACTTCCACTTCATGTAAACAAAGTGGCAGTGACCTTGCTGGCCTCTTCAGTCTGGCAGTTGGGCGAAGGTGATGCAGGTCTTGAAGCGCTGGGAATCCTCCCATCTGGGATTCCGCCCTGAGGTCAGGATAGAGGCTGAAGGATGGAGGCCCGCGGGTGGGGGTCTGATGTGCAAACAGGTGCTCTCTGGGCAGGGCAGGACAGGTGGGCCCCTGCAGGCCCACGCTCAGGAAACCACGCAGTTGCTGGGCTTAGCGGAACCCGGACTTGTTTTACCTGTGGAGACAGGGACCCAGGCAGGGAAGGACGTTACGCGAGCAGCGCGGCAGCCCCTGTCCTGGGTGCTGTCTATGCCTGCCTTTGCGAGGGGGGGGCTGGGGTTTCTGTCACCCTCCTACTCTGTTGATAGAGGAACCAGGTACTCTGAGCACCCACAGCAGACTCAGTAGGCTCCCCAGGGACTGGGACATTAAGCTGTCATCTCTGGCCACAGAGGGGCAGGGTTCTGGAGTCCCTGTGACCAGTGACTTACAAGTCTCGCCTGTCACAGTTCAGTTCAGTTCAGCTCAGCTCAGTTCAGTTCAGCCCAGCCCAGCCCAGCCCAGCCCAGCCCAGCCCAGCCCAGCCCAGCCCGAGATGTTCCGGGGGTTCAGGCAGCCTGCCCTGGCTCGCCCGTGGCTGGGTTGGAAGAGGCAAATGTGTGCCTTGCGCAGCGCGTTGTCCTGCAGCACGGGGTGGCCACGCTGCAGGAAGCTGGATGGATGGAGGAGCCGGGCAGGGGCTGGGGTGGGCGGTCAGGTGGCGGCCTTCTCCTCCCCATCCTGGGCTCTGCATCCACCCTCCTGCCTTGGCCATCCCACGGGGGCTGGCCAGTGCGGTGGCCCACTCCAGCTGGCCTATGTGGGTGGGTAGGGCGGCTACAGTTGGCCCCAGAGGTGTGGGGCAGTTGGAGGCAGAGTCCTCTAGGGAGCCAGGCCAGCATCTCTCCCGGGCAGTGGCTGGGTTATTTCCCCGCAGGGCAAGGGCTGGTTCCCTGGCTCACTCCACCTTCCAGAGCCCTGCAGCTGTGAGCTTGACAAAGACGCCTCTGCCTCCCCTAGCAGAGCTGGGCCTGGGGTGCTGGGTCTGTAGCGGTGTCCCCAAACTGGCCATAGGGCCACTGCCCCGCCCACAGCGTGCACGAATGTCAGCCTCTGCCACATCTGTGCTACGCGGAAGCCACGCCGCAGGACTTCCCTGCAAAGCCCTTGAGTCCCCAGGTTTGGGCAGCAACTGCCTTGGCAGACAGGGGAGAAGGAGACAGGCCCTCTACACACATACATGTGTGCGCACACATATGTGCACACACACACACACACACACACACACCTTGCACAGCGACTGGTTTGATCTGTGGCCTGCTCTGCTAAGCAGCTGTAGAGCGTCTCCCCAGAGGCCTCAGCATGTTTTGGAGGCAGGTAAGCAAAATCCATCTCTAGAGCCAGAATCTGGGCAGGACCAGGGCTTGGGGTGGGGGGTGGGGTGGGGGAGAGGAGGGGGCAAGGGGGGCAGGAGGGCTCCCCAGCTCCTTCCTGAAGAAGGCTGTCCTCACATGACCTGCCACCTCTGTTCTTAGGGCTGGATGTGAACCTGGGGAGATCCTGGAGCTTGGAATTCATCTCCATGCCTCAGACAGGACACAGAAGCTGGCTTAGGTGAAGTTCTTGGTGCTCCATCCGTCGATGCTCATTTATCAGGAACCTACTGTGGGCAGGCACACCAGCACTCTGGCCAACGGGGAAAAAAACCCATGAAGGACACATTTGTTTCTACAGAGTATGTGTGGCATGGGTGTGGGTGGCCCAAAGAAGCCTTAGAAGTCAGGCAGCAAAAGGAGGGGACACTGATGTCTGAGAGCCGGGTGCAGAGTGCAAGGAGAGGTCAGTGAATGCAGGGGTGTAGAAGGAGGGGTTAGGGCATGATGCCCTGTGGCTGGGACATGTGAACCCCATGCAAGGCTGTGACAAGAATAGCCCCACTGCCTATGGCTTGCAGGGCTTCCTGTTCCTTTTATCTGGAAGAGTCACCCCTGATTTCCACATTGCCCCTCCTCCCCAAGGCTTTGCTTGAATTCTCCCTGACCCGAGGCCTTCGACCTAAGGTCTCCCCTCACCGCCCACCTCCACAGGAGGGTCATTCCCCCTGCCCACCCAGCCCCTGCCAACCTCCTGGGGCGGGGTACCGTGCATTGTGTCCTTGGCTGCCTTAGCGCAGGGCCCCACACAGGGCCCACATTTCACAGACACAGACTTAGCGGATTCAGTGAATGAGCAGGTGCTGGCCAGCTCTTTGGGGACTCAGCCCAACACTAACAAGACAACAGCAGCCATCCCTGGTAATGTGTAGGGCCTCACTCACTCAGTGCCCAGTGCCTTCCCGAGCCCCGGCCAGGCAACACAGAAGGGCAGGGATGGTGACACTTGCCAGTGTGAGCAGGCACGGCTGGCTGCCTGGCTCTGGAGTTGAGTGGTTTTGGGCATAGTGCTTCCCCCCCCCCATCACAGTGATGGGAATTAAGTGATCGACTGTGGGTGAAGTACCTGCCCCACACAGCTCAGGCAGCACCCAGATGTTTGTCAGACCCAGAATGGAGGCTCAGGGTTCTTAGGCAGTTCTGAGCCAGGGAGTACTTTCCCATCAGTTTATCCTTGACAGGAACCCCAGTTTCCAGATGAGAGACCACAGCCTCTCAGTTCCTTAAGATGACACTGAAAAAACCTGAAGTCCCCCAACCCAGGAACCCAGTGAATTGGTAGGGGTCGGGGGTGTGGGGGCACAGCATGAGATCCACCCACACACGAGTCAGGGGCACCCAAGAGAGTGCTTGAGGCATGGGCACTGAGGGTCACCTCAAGAGAATGCTGGGAAGTCCCCACGTCATTTGCTGGTCCGAGGACTCTCTAGTGGAAAACTACTTGGGAAAATCAGGGCTCTTGCTTAAAATGCAGATTTCTGAGACCACTTCAGCCATACAGTTTCTGTTCAGACATTTGAATAAGGCTGGGTGAATCTCGCCTGGATGGGTGAGCCCAGGTGGCAGGAAAGAGGGAAGGCAGAGGTCACCTAGTGCAGGAGCCAGGTCCAGCAGGGACAGGAGAAAGGGAATGCCTGACTTCTGCCACTAGAGGGGGCTCTGAGCCTTCAACTACCCATTGTTCCCTCACCCCAGCCCCAAAGGAAGTGGTTCCATTTGTGAGCCTCTCCCAGGGGCCACACTTGGGTCTGCAAAAATTTGCATGCTGTTTGACAACTATATATACTTCTTATCAAGCAATTTTGCAGTTGGCTCTTCTCTTTCCCTTTCTCTTTCATCCACCTTGTCATCAACCCCCATTCTTCCTTGAGACAGGACAGAGTCAGGGCAGAGTTACAATCAACTCAAAGGGATGGGGGAACCCCTCTTCGGTTCACCCTTCCTCTTCTGGAAGAAAAGACAGCCCTGGGAAGGGAGGGGTGTGTCTAGGGGGGCAATGTGTCTTAAGCAGAGACCTTGCCATAGAAGCTAAAGCCATCTCCTCCCCCACTACAGCTGCAGGTGAGCGAGGGTCAGTCCCAGCCCCACCCCGGCCCCTCTGTGCTGTTAGGATCTCAGCTCTCTAGTTGTGGGGGCCTGCATCCTACACATGGAAGAAGAAGGCGCTACGAAGGCCTTGGGAAGGGGCTGGAGTCTCATCCTTGTCTTTGGGAAAGAAAGCAGAGGAAGGTCTCCAAAGGGAGTTTGAGTTTCAGGGCAGGGTCTCTGGAACTGTAGGCCCCTGGGCTGGCTGTGTGGATGGGCCCTGTCCTCCCAAGCGGGGAGGAAGAGGGGTTGGCCCTGGGCATCCCCGGGGGCCTCTGCCTGCATGCTGCCCACTTCTGCGGCCAGGTGTGCTGGAGAGGGACTTCTATAGCCACATTGGGTCTGCTTGGCTTCTGGGCAGTTTTCAAATGTTGAGAGACAGGCGGCAGTGGTGGCAGATGACTGGGGCTGTGCAACACACACACTAGTGTCAGCATCGGGGAAGGGACCAGACAATGGGCCTTGCGTTTCCATGGCAACAGCACCTCAGGATAAGGGGCAGAGGGAAGAGAAAGCTTCCACCGCACTTCCAGTCAAGACTTGGGAAATAGCCCCTTTGTGGTTGGGCTCGGCCCTCCCCTTCCCTGCCAGGTGTTCACCATGGCAACCCTCTTTCCAACAAGATGGCATCTGGTGTTGGGGAAGCCCAGGGGAACGGAACAGGGGCCAGCTATCCCTCTTCTGCCAGGATGTGGGCCTGGGCTTGGGCCTGAGTTTGAGGTGGTCCACGACAGCTCTGAGACCACTTACTGCACCTCTCCCAGCTTCTACCTGCCACTTTGGGGCTCAGCAGGGTACAGTGGGGGGAGCAAAGACTATCAGGGCCTTCAGGCAGTGGGGGGGGGTGAGGCAGTCCTGGTGCGCCCTCTGTGCTCATGTCACAGACCCCCCAACCTGCGCTAGGACGCAGATACATTCCTGAGCACAGCTGGGGCGGCAGGTTTGGAAGCAGTGCTGCGAGTCGGTGGAGGGGAGGGTTGTGTCCTTACTCTCCAACCACTCACCATCAAGTCAGAGCCAGGCTCGTGGGATCACACCTGAGTTCTGAGCCAGGGACAAGACCTGAGGCCTCATTGATGCAGAACTATGGAGGGAGAAATCCCAACATGGAAATTCTTCTGGCTCGGGAATGTGGGAGATGAGAAAGGCAGCAACTGCCAACAAAGGTTGGCACCATCAGCCTCCTGGAAAGCTATACCAGAGGTTGCTCCAGAGAGAGGGGTGACGGCCAGGGCCTAGCTGGGTGCTGGTAGCTCATACCTGTAATCCTGGTACTCAGGAGGCTGAGCTCTGAAGATTTCCTGCCAGCCCAGGCAGGAAAGCCTATGAGATTCTTATCACCAATAAACTACCCCAAAAAGCTGGAAGTAGAGCACTCGCTGAAGAGGTAAAGCTCCAGTCTTGAACAAAAAGAACCTCAGGAATAGTGCCTGGTCCCTGAGTTCAAGACCCAAGATTGGGATCAAAAAAAAAAAATCCCAAAGATCCAGGGTCTTGAGAGGATCCCAGAAAGATGGCCAGAAAGACATCTCCACCACCACTGCAACCACCACCACCATGTGCTTTCCAGAGCACAAACCTGGTTGTTAGATGTAGAAAAACCAAGTCTGTTTGGCATACAAACAGGAAGCAGGGTCAGGGCTCACGGGGCACGGGTGAGGGTGGGTGTGCCTGACCAGGTTAGAGCTTGATGGTGGTAACCTGACAAGAAATGAGGTTGGCCACAAAGAGCCGGAGCGGCAGAGCCGGGGCTCAAGTCTCCGTCCTGGGCCTTGATGGGCTGGGCTCCTTTCTTGCCACATTTCCTTCATTTGCTCCAGTTTCGGTGAGGACTGAGCTAAGTGCTTGCTACTAGGAGTGACATGACAGAACTGTGACAGTGACCCTGCTCCAGGGCAAGGCCTGCATCGCTCTCCCCTTGCACAGAAAAAGACAGAAACTCAGAACTGTGCTGACCTGTGCGGACGTGCCGGGGGCCACCAAGTACAAGAAGTCTGGAGCCAGACTGAAAGGTGGGGCTCTCTGACTGCCTGCGCACCCCAGGCCAGCAAGCTGCTGCCTGCCCATGTGAGGTGAAGCTCCTCCTTAGGATATGGGGAGTGGTGGTAGTGGGTGGCCCCAGGGCCCCTGGGGAGCAGGCTCACCTGAGACGTCGGCTCTGGAATCCCCCGCGGGCCTCTTCCCTACCAGAAGCTCGGCATCCGTAAAGGTGTCTGTGGAGAGGGAGCTGGCCATGCTGTGGGGCACTGCTGGCCTCTTGGCCCGTCGGCTGAGGAACTTGCTGCCGAAGCGCTTGCCCTCCTTGGCCGGGGTGGCCTCCCCGTTGGCTGCTTCCCCCTTGCTGTTCTGGGTAAGAATCTCTCGGGATTTTGGCCTCCGGTCTGAGTGCAGGTGAGAGCCCATCTTGGCATCCTTCTGGCTCAGCTCCCTCAAAGGAATGGGCTCCACGGTGGGCAACACCTGCTCCACCGTGACCAGGTCATTCAGGAAGCTCTCCAGGCGCCGGGCTGCCTCGCCACCGCCGTTGCCCTCCTCTTGCCCCACCGGGTTGCCACCAGTCTCCTGCTGTTGCCGGTTCGCCCAGCGCATCATCTCCCCCGGAGGGGGGCGGCTGCCTGCCACCAGGGCGTACTTGGGGTTGATAAGCTTGCGGGCCACGGTGGAGGAGTAGTTAAGGCCAAGTCGGCCTGCGCCTCCTGCCAGGCCCAGCTGCCGGTACAAGTTCACCTCCTCGGAGATGGCGTATAGCTCCCGGAACTCCACATCAAAGGGCTCCACGTTCTGCCCAGTCAGCAGGAGAAGAAGGTTCCTGTCCACGTAGGAGGAACTCCAGGTGAACCTGGGGATGTGGGGACAGAAAAGCCTCTACATGTGCTGAAGCCTCTCCACGGCCCTGCCAGGGGCCTTTTCAACACTCTGCTTCCTGCCTCCACCTGCCCCATCACTGCGGCCGGTTTCCAGCACCTGGCAGAGGAAGGCACCTCCTTCTTCCTGCTCGGCTGCTCTCCTGCCACTGGCCTGACACAGAAAAAGGCAGCAGCAGACACAAGGTGTGAGAAACCAGGCCTGGCTTCACACCAGGTTTCTACCCTTGTGTGTTGTTCAAAAATGGGGTTTATGGAACCCCGGATGCAAAACATCCCAGAGAGATCCCTGAACTTACAGTGTGTGAGGACCGACTTATTTTTACATGTGCTCATGTCTCTTTTCACCTAGATTTTAATTTACGTAGGAGAGAAAGGTTGCACACATACTGTCTCTCATATTCCTGGTAATATTCTTTACATTAAAATTCTAGAGAAGCTAGGCACTGGTGGCTCACGTCTGTAATCCTAGCTACTCAGGAGGCTGAGATCTGAGGATCGCCATTCAAAGCCAGCCTGGGCAGGGAAGGCTGTGAGACTCTGATCTTCAATAAACCACCAGAAAACTGGAAGTAGTGCTGTGGCTCAAGTGGTAGAGTGCTAGCCTTGAGCTGAAGAGCTGAGGGACAGTGCCCAGGCCCACAACCGACAGAAAAATAAATAAATAAAATAAAATTCTAGAGACATCCTTCCTTGCCACATCTGCATATTCCATTCCCAGATCTGCTCCATTCTACTTTTGGCTTGTCCCAACTAAGAACCAGCTTCAAAATGCAACCAGCTGCTGAGGCCCCCAAGACGCAGGCAGTGCTTAATGTGTAGGAAAAGTTGACTCTTTCCGGAATAATCCATTAGCCAGAAAGCTTAAGGGAGGGATGGGTAGAGGGCTCTTTGGCATTGGGCAAATGATGCCTCTTCAAACTCTGGCTGTGGATTGGCCAGTGGAGCTCCTTCCTGAACAGTTGTGACTAAAGAAAGACAGACACGCCTCTTGGAACCTTCTCTGAGCCGTTTCCACTCACCTATAAGATCCAGTGGCTACTTTGTCCCCATCCACCATGAGGAACCTCGATGACAGGGTCCCCTTGATCTTCCCCATGGGCATGTAGAAGCCGACCCCCGTCACCGAGCGGACGCGGATGTTCTGTTGAGAAGCGGGGAAAGGCACTGTGGTTCTGCCGGGGACAAGGCTTCGCTTCAACACAGGACGAGCCTCTTGTACTTAGACCCTGCCTGTGGGCTCTGCTTCATACCGTCCCTGCTTCCCCCAGTTGTACATAAAGAGTGCCATTGGGAGGAGGCAACAATCTCGCTCCGGGTGTGGGTAAGTCTAGGGGTTCCCCAAAGTTCCCCACAGCTCTAACTTAACCCTGACAGTGACCCCAGTGGCTCTGCAGGCTCATTACCCTACTACTGGGCCAAAGCTGCTGCTTCAGCCTCAGCAGCCAGGGGGTAACACTGAACTGGGAAAAAGAGAAGAGATATGAACTTTACCTGAGCCCCTAAGCTGGGCATGTGGGGGGTGGGCAGGAGGAGGAGCCAGAGGAAAGGAGTAGATGGCATCTCCTGACCATGCCCCATCCCCCCATAGTACAGCTTACCCGGATACGGAAGTCAGAGAGCCCCAGGCCCTGACACATCTCCAGGAAGTACTTCACACCGGCCTCATCCAGGATGATGTACACAGGCACCCGACGCCTAAAGGCAGCATCTACAATGTCTTGGAAAATGTCGCTATCGGTGAAGAGGTCCATGACCACAGCAATGACCTGGGCAGGGAAGGGCACTGCTGAGGAATGTCGTGCCTACAGAACCTGCCGAGACACACCTGCCCACACCTGGCGCACCCTGGGGGAACTCCAGCCTTCATGCACCACTCATGGGTTCTCCAGGCCCCGCCTGCCCGCCAAAGCATGCTGCATCAGGGGTTACAGGGAGGGTGCTCTGACCTCCCTGCAGCTGTTCAAAGCCCTGTGCTTCCCCAGTCCAGAGGCAGGAAGCCCTCCAGTTGGCTCGGCTGTGCCTCTGGCCTCAGATGGCTAGCGCTTCCCTCCTATTCCAGATCAAGGACACTGCTCAGAGCCCTTCCCTGGCAAAAGTCAGTCCTGATGATGCACCCGGTGCAGGTCTTTGGCAGGGCAGGGCAGGGCAGGGTAGGGCAGACCTATCTTTCTAACTCAGTTGCTTTCATTCTCAGACAAATTGTAAGAGGCAACCTTAAAAATTATTTTTGTGGGAACCCTTTCCCTCATGCCCGCTTTGCACCTGTGCCCTGTGGCCTGAGCCATTCTCTCCTGCAGTCTCTGCAATCACATATCGGGCTCCAGGAAAGAAATGGATTTACCAATTTAAAACAAAAACAAAAACCCAACTGTTCCAAAGAAAGAAAAAGGCCAAAAGCTTGGGAGGCGAAGTGTTGCAGGTGAAGTGATGACAGCTTCTTAGGAATTCCTCTGGAACAAAGGCTGGAGACAGGGCTTGGGACTGTCTTGATCCTACATGCCTTTCTCAGCCCCTGACCCCAGTATTCCCTGTTTAACCTAAGGCCAATGCCTGTATTTCCCCCACCCCATGGCTAAAGATAACACATGAAAGTTGTCTTCCCATGGCTGTCATGTAATAAATCTCCTTTGTGTGTCCTTTGCTGGCATGGTAGCTAGACCTAAGGCAGGATGCCTTGAGTTTGGGCACGAGTTCTAAACACCAGATTTGAAAACCACCCTGTGCTCTAGCCGTGAGATGCCAAGGAGAGGCCTGGACTCTGGTGAGAGATGTGGTCTCAACCTCGTAACCATCACTTTCTATTTATACTCTATACATTTGCCATGAGGATTGGAGAGAATGTCTGTAGAGCGGCAGCCTCATTGTCAAGGGACTTGGCATGCTCTCACACACAAAAGCAAGACAACCCTAGGGCAAACGCCTAGTTTACCAACTCTGAGCCTGCAGCTTCAGTGTCCCATGCCTCCTGGGCAGGAAAATGGAGCTAATAATAACACCTATCTCAATAGCACCTCACCTGAGTTGAGGACTTAGGAGTACACATATACTTAGAGCAGTGCCTCGCACAAGGTAACCTCCGCAAGCCTCCATCACCAGCATGTTCCAACACCGGGGTTCACCCACATGCTCTACCACTACCACACTGCTCCAGGGCCTCCCTGCCCCCACCCTCATACAATATCACTTTCACTCTCCACAGCTTTTCCAGTGAATCATTAATAAGAGGGTGATAGTTTTGAGCCCTGCAGGCAAAGTGAGAATCTGAAGACAGATAAGCAATGGCTAGTTAACTACAAAATGCCCTGAGTCTCAAGAGGGGCAGGTATTATTTCCAGCCAGGGCAGAATAGGAAAGACCTCACTATAAAGAATGGTATGCCCATGCTGGTGACTCATACCTACAATCCTAGCTAGTCAGGAGGCTGAGATCTAAGGATCAAGGTTAAAAGCCAAACCCAGGCAGGAAAGTCCCCATGAGACTCTTATCTCCAATTAACCACTCAAATACCGGAACTGGAACTGTGGCTCAAAGTGGTAGAGCACAAGCCTTGAGCAAAAGAGCTCAGGGATAGTGCCCAGGCCCAGAGGTCAAGCCTCATGACATAAAAAAAATTAAGAACAGGGTGCCTTAGGGTGCCAAGTCAAGTGAACAGGGAGAAGAACTGAGCAGGGAAGTTGGCTGGGCTGTCTGAAAAGAGGTGAAGGGAACTACAGGAGAGAATGCCTGCTGGAGGAAGCGATGATTTTTTCTATTCTATACACAGGTGTCAGGTGACCTAGCAGGGGCCACTGAAGTAGGCATTTCAGGCAAAACATTTAGCAGTGGCAAAAGCACTGTGATGGTTAATCTTTTTTTTTTTTTTTGGGTCCGGTCATGGGGCTTGAACTCTGGGCCTGGGCGCTGTCCCTCAGCTCTTCAGCTCAAGGCTAGCACTCTACCACTTGAGCCACAGTGCCACTTCCGGCTTTTTTCTTTTGTCTTATGTGGTGCTGAGGAATCAAACCCAGGGCCTCAGGCATGCAAGGCAAGCATTCTACCACTGAGCCACCTTCCCAGCCCCTGTGATGGTTAATCTTATGTATTAACTTGACTGGCCCATGATGTACAGACATTTAGAAAAACATGATTCTGAAAGAATAATGGGAGGTATCTTGGATGAGGTCAACATTTAGATCAACAGGGCTTCCAATAAGGCAGATTACCCTCCATAACATTGGTGGGCTTTGTCCAAAGATCTTCGCAGAACAAAGACTGACTTCTCCTGAGCAAGAAGGAATTCTGCCAGCAGCCTTTGGACTTGGACTGCAACTCTTCCCTGGGTCTCCAGCCTGTAGACTACCCTGGGATTCTGGACTCCCCATCTCCACAATCCCAGGGGCCATATCTTAAATAATCATCTCAAGCAATACGAAATTAGCACATGCATTCTGTCTCTGTCTCTGTCTGTTTGTCTGTCTCTGTCTCTCTGTCTGTCTGTCTCTCTCTCACACACACACACACACACACATCTATTTCCTTGGAGAACCCTCACTAATACAGACACTGTGGATGGGATTGTCATGCACTAGATACTTTCTGTGTATTCCACACTAAAGTATTCATGAATTCATTCATTTACTTTAGGTGAATTTTCCAATCTGATTCTCACAGTTTTCCCTTTGTTATTCCCACTTCATAACTGAGGACACAGGTGCAGAGGTGCGAGGTCATACACCTAGCACACAGCAGAGCAAGAAACCCAGGTCCAGCTGACGGGAGTCCCCACGTCACTGTTTCACAGCAATGGAACTGCTGCTTGATGTGTTTTAAAAACAGTGAATCATTCTTGAAAAAAAAAACACTAAAGGAGACATCTTGTGAGATGACAAAAGGAGATGAAATATACTGACTGAAAAGTAACTATAGACATAATAGAGAGTTAAGAATGGCAAAAAGAATACTAAAATCAATTAATGAATTTGAAAATGCAAATAGTGTGGATAACACACTAAAAAACAAAACAAACAGAAAATTAGGGATAGTGGGGTGGCTCAAGTGGTAGAGTGGCTACGTAGGCAAAAGTGAGGCCCAGAGTTTAAACCCCAGTCCCATCAAGAAAAGTTATTAGAAATGCATCCATTTAAGCATAAATAAAATAAAAACTAAGCTACTGTGCTAAGAATGTAAGGATAATCCAATATCAGAGAACACATCAGTTTCATTTATACCATGAAATCAAAATCATATGTTTTCTTAATAATTTGTGAAGTATTGGACAAAGCTAGATCCCTAATTATGATTAAAATTCTTAGAAAGGACCTTTCTTTTCACATGAAATATTTTATTAATAGAAAAACTTAAAGTGTATTTCCTTTAAATCTCTGGCAAACCAAGGATACATCTCAATATATGTTATTGATCAGTACAGGATTAGATGTCCTTACCAATGCGATTCAACAAGAAAATGAATAAGAGATGTGAGAACAGAAGACAAAACTGCCCATATTTAGAGATAACATTTCATAGAAATCCCTGTAGTGGGGGGGTGGGGTGGGGGAGGCTGGGAAGGGATGTGAAGGGTAAACAAAGGAGGGGGCTGCAATGCTTGATAAGAAATGTACTTATTATCTTGCCCATGTAATTGTAACCCCTCTGTACAGTATGTTCACAAAAAATAAAAATTAAAATAAAAAAAAGAAATCCCTGTAGTAGCAGGAGAAAAGCTATTAGAATAGAAGTATGTGAGATAAAAGTGTGCCAGATAAAAGTAAAACTTCAAAGAATCAATAGCTCTCTTTTCCAATAGTAATCAACTGAAATACTATAAAAAGGGTGCATTCAGCCGGGTGCCAGTGGCTCACACCTGTAATCCTAGCTACTCAGCCTCCTGAGTAGTAATACATGTTTTTAGCCATGTAGTACTTCTAAGTTAAGGCAGAATAAAGAGGCACAAATAGCTACATCAATTTTGAAAACAAAATTCAAAAGGAGACATGCCTCCTACCAGAAAGTTAGGACAGAGCTACAGTACTAACAACCATAGTACTGAGGTAGGAACGGACCACCGGAACAGAACAGTGAAACCACACACACACACACACACACACACACACACACACACACACTTCATGGTAGGGCTAGACTCACAACTCAATGGAGAAAAGATGCTGTTTTGTGGTGCTATTGGTAAATTTGATTCATATAGGGAATATAAAGGTGGATCCCTATCTCACACCATAGAAAAGTGAATTTCAGGTAAGCTGAAATGTAAAAGACAAAACTAATATGGGAAGTGATGAAATGTATAAAAACATTGTCATGACAAAAGGATTTGTTTTGTTTGGGTGCCAGTCCTGGGGCTTAAACTCAGGGCCTAGGCAATGTTCCCAAGCTTTTATGCTCAGGGCTAGTTCTCTATCATTTAAGCTGCAGCTCCACTTTCAACTTTTCACTGGTATATTGGAGAAAAGAGTCTCACCTTTGCCTGGTGCTGATGGCCCACACCTGTAATCCTAGCTATTCAAAAGGCTAAGATCTGAGGATCATGGTTCAAAGCTAGCCTGGGCATGAAAGTCTATGAGACTCTTATCTCCAATTAACTACGAGAAAACTGAAGTGGCCTTGTGGCTCAAAGTAGTAGAGCAATAGCCTTGAGCAAAAAGACTCAAGGACAGAGCCCAGGCCACTCAAGCCCCAGGACCAACAACAACAACAAAAAGTAAAATAAAATGAGTCTCACTTTTCTGACCAGGCTTGCTTTGAACCATAATCCTCAATCTCAGCCTCC